AGCAGTAAATAAAATAAAATAAAACTTTTACAAGGATATCGGTTTACCGGTCCACACAAAAGGAAGATTGTGGTTAAATAGAGCTAAGATATTGCACTTGTATATCAAAACAAGTTGAAAGACGTTATTTGAATTCCTTCAGAAGTTTCTATCAAAAGAAGAAGAAAAAAGTTTACTTTTAATCAGTTATTGTTTGTTCTCCAAATATACCCCCCACCCCCAGTGGCACAGCGGATACCCGTGGTGGGCAGAGCACAGATAGCCCATTGTGTAGCTTTGTGCTTAATTAAAAACAAACTTTATTCCTCCAAATATAAAATTTCAAAACTCACCATTTCAAATAGTTGGGATTCCATGACGCTTTGACTCTTTGAACTGAATAATTATATTGTTATACTAAAATTCGAGGATCAGTCCCCCTGGCGGACATAACGCATAGAGTTTACTTTTCGTTGAAATAATTTGTTTGTTTTATTTGTATTTAAGCTCAAAGCTACACAATGGGCTATTTTGAGCTGTGCCCGCCACAAGTATCGAAACCCAATTTCTAGCGTTATAAGTCCGCAAACTTGCCGCTGTAGTTCTGTGGGCCACTGAAACAAACTATATTTGTATCCTAAAACCTTCCAGTTCTTCAGAACATTTTTTTTTTGCCTGATAGGGTAGGATACATATAAATGGGATGATTTCTGTTACACCTCAACGAAAATTCTTCTTTTACACCTGTCCCCCCAGTGGCAAAAGCGGTATGTCTACGCTAGAATCCGGGTTTCGATACCCGTGGTGGGTAGAGCACAGATAGCCCATTGTTTAGCTTTATGCTTAATTACAAACAAACAAACAAATCATTCACACTTCATGATGAGGACATTTTAAAACACAGTACCAATCCATCCTTCAGCTGATAATATTTGCTGCATTACATTGTGAATGCTTAGTCTCACGTTGACGATCTACAGGATGTACTACTCAAAATTTGCTAGGAAACACTTTTCAAGATGAATATAACAAGTAACCTACTGGTAACTGTATAAAGGTTTTGCGCATGACGTCATAAAACCTCCTGTTTCATTCAACGCCGCCATATTGAACGTCAAACATTTCCTTTTATTAATAATTATCAGTACCTAGTGCGGAGCGCGAATTTGCGGCAACATGACGCGAACCCTAAACTCTTGGATTTACAGATCGGCAAGCTAACCCCTAAGGCCACACCCAGCCCCTTGCTCGTAGCTGGGGCATTAATCCATCCATAGAAAGAAAGATAAGCGACGTTGGTTATGTATTATAATAAGATTCAGGTTTTATGGGTGTGTAACGTTGAAGCAATTCGTGTGTATATATTTTCTTATCTTCCACATTTTTATAGGATACAACAGTTATTATATTGTTGTAATGGTTTGTTTTGTTGCGCGGGTTCATTTTAGATTATTCAGTAAAATTAATGCAAAGTCTATTCTACTTAACGACAAGAAAGGCGTTTTATTCCTTCTACCACAAGTTCTACAAACTCACCAAGCGACAGGCCGAACTTACAAATAAAATTAGCAGTCAATGGCAGACTAACACACTCGCAAACACGGTAATTTTTCGATGACATGGTAATAGACTCACTAACTAACCAACTGCCCAGCTCTTTTTTTTCTTGCTTTTTTTATTATATATTTTTTTCTCACGTCCGTAGAAAATTCGAGACGTCACGTCAAATTTAGATGCACAGGAACTACAAACAGTTAAAAAAACGCCTAGATTAATATATTAATACGTAGATCCCAACAGTATCATTGCCTCTTGTTATTCAGTACACTGTCTTTCTGTCGGGTTGTCTCTCAATTCAGAATTAGTCTTTACAGTTTGTAAGTTTGCGCAATTTGTTTCATCTATCACATTTCATAGTTTTTCACAGCGGAATGTCTACAGACTTACAACTCTAAAATCCGGGGTTCGATTCCCCGCGGTAAACACAGCAGATAGCCAAATGTGGCTTTGCTTCAAATGAACCAACCAACCAATTAATTGTATTAATGACATAAATCACTTTTTAATTAATAAACACATGTCTAAAGAAAAAGCATTATGCGGTTTATTGTAAATTTAGTTTTTCTGTGATAATGCCCTTTAACTCGAAAACTAACAGCCAGAGATATGAGAGAATTTATAAATAAAGTGGTGAAACAGCACACGGAAATTCCAGTACTAGATATAATTGTCACCAGGAGTCGCTAATCGTGTAATTTGCACAGCCAATAAGCTAACAGCGTTCGATATGACCACCGATCAGTGTCCATTATTGCTTGCATTCGTGAGATGCAAATGAACGTTGTTGTTTGTTATTAAGCACAAAGCTACATAAAGGGCTATCTGTGCTCTGCCCACCACGGGTATCGAAACCCAGTTTCTAGCAGTATAAGTCCGCAGACATACCACTGTGCCACTGGGGGGCGAACAAATGAACGATACTGTCCGATTTCCAACGGTGGTGGCATTTAGCAACTGATCAAGGTAGCGCACACGCCACGACACAACTCCTTAGCCAAAAATCAACATGGGTAAGATCTAGAGACTGTGTTGACCACACATATATAGAAAATGTCAACTGATTATTTATTTCCTGAAAGCATGTCCCAGCAATGTCTTGACAACATTTAACGTGAAGAGTAAGAATGTCAACATGTTTTAAGTTGCACCATCAACCGATTCTGTTGATATTTTGGAAATTAGCTCATGTGTTACCTGAGGTGCCAATCACTTTGAAATTTCCCAAATATTAACAGAATTGCATAAGGTGCCAAGCAGTTAGGTCACAGACCACTACCGCCTGTGTGGTCGCTCTTATCCGAATATTGATATTGATTGTTGCAATTATAACGCTCTCCCCGACACTTTAACTACTGAGCCATGCCCAGCCTGCCTATTCCTTTTGTTAGAAAATTTTATAAGCTCCATTACTGCACGGTTCCTTTCGTTCACATAGCTATTACGTTAATGTCGTACCAGCGTTACTACAAATGGCTGTAGTAATGGTTGATTAAAATAATTATGATGCTCAGAAATAAACTGTCAGGAAAAAATTATTATGGTGGAATAAATCCTGACATATTTGATGCTGTTTTTTTATATAAACTTGATTATAAGCACCCCTGGTGACAGTATTTATAACAGTGAAACCCCCCATCTCAGTCTCATTAGTTTTTTTACCAAACAATATATATCTACTTAATGAATAGTTTTATAGTTATCACCGATAGAATAGACCAATTAACTTTATAATAACCCTGTATTTACAGACTAGTAGAGTGAAAAGAGCTGCAATACCCTCTCAGTCTCATTAGTTCATTTACCAAACAATATATATATACTTAATGAATAGTTTTATAGTTATCATCGATAGAATAGACCAATTAACTTTATAATAACCCTGTATTTACAGACTAGTAGAGTGAAAAGAGCAACAATACTCCTCAGTCTCATTAGTTCATTTACCAAACAATATATATACTTAATGAATAGTTTTATAGTTATCACCGATAGAATAGACCAATTAACTTTATAATAACCCTGTATTTACAGACTAGTAGAGTGAAAAGAGCAACAATACCCTTTCAGTCT